CGGCCCCGGCGGTGGCGCCGCCGCCTGACCCCCACCCCGTGCGCCCCGACGACCTGCCCAGGCGGCCGCACCCGGTCCTCATGGGAGGCGGGGGCCACGATCCGCAAGGGGGCAGTAGAGGGTCGGGAGGCTTGGGGACTCCACATGGGGCCTCTGCTTTGGAGAAGGGGACTGGGCCTCAGACCAGGCAGCGGCCTGGGGCTCGTGCAGTGGGGGGTGGGCCTATGGCTTCTGGCGGGGCAGAGAGCAGGTCTGTGGGGCGAGGCCCCTGGGCTGGGTGCATGGTCGATGGCTCTGGGGTGGGTGTGGGGAGCTAGCGACTCCAGGGCAGTGGGACCTGTGGCTCTAGAACGGGGCCTCTAAATAGGGCCTCTACCGTGGGGCGGGGCTTCAATCTTGGGACCTCCTCGAGTCCTAGCCAGGAGCCGGGCTATAGGGAGTCAGAGTCCGGCCTGAGACCTGGGGATCCCGGGCCCAGGACCCAGGAGGGGCAGTGGTGGGGACGGTGGCTTGAGAATTGAGCTGCAAGATTGGGCCTCTGTGAAGTGAGGAGGAGCCTCTTCTAGGGGCGTGAGGGAGGGACAGGACAGTCAGGCGTGGCTACAGCTCCAGATTTGGTCGTGAGGTGGGCCTGTGTGCAGGGGGTGGGGACTCAACTTAGGGGTAGAGTCCCAGCCCCGAGTTCTAGCAAGTGGCAGAGGTCTAGGTCCAGGTCCAACTTGACATCTTTATAAATAAAGAGAATATAAAAGAGACAGGAAGAGAGAGAAACGATCTACCTTTTGTCTCTTTTGCAGTCATTTATTTCCTTGGAATGGGCAGGGATGCCTATGCATCGAAGTAGTGTCCACAGCACTGCATCCCTTCAGGGCTTGGGACAGGACAGTGGAACAAGATCTGCAGCTCCAGGACAGAGTAGAGGGCGGGACCTCAGTTGTGATAAGGTTCCCAGACCCAAGTTCTAACAGGAGCCCATAGGCTCGGGAAGGAGTCAGAAGGTCCCAGGGCTCCAAAATGGGTTGCAAATGGGCCTCCGTGCCAAGCAACGGTGGTGGGTGGGCTGAGGCAGAGGGGCAGAGTTTCTGCTTGAGGTTAGATCCTCAAGCCCGAGGATGGACGCTTTCTGGGGGTCCCTAGGGCCTGGGCTTGTCTGGCCCAAGTATTGGAAGACAAAGGACCAACTAGAGCCTCGTGGATGGTAAGTGGCACCTGTGGATGGGTGGGGGTGTATCAGAAGCACGAATGTGGACTTGGTGCCGAGTCTTGGACCCTTGATAAGAACCTCAAAGAAATCCTCTCACCTTATATAACATCTGGCTGTACCCATGTGTCTGGTGTCAATGTCTCCAGTGAACTGGAACTGCCCACATGGGGACCTGATTTTTTTTTTTTTTTTAAAGATGACCAGTAAGGGGATCTTAACCCTTGACTTGGTGTTGTCAGCACCACACTCTCCCAAGTGAGCACGGGCTGGTCCTTGGATACCTGAATTTGAAGGTACTGGGGGAAGAAGGCTTTTCTAACTGAGACGCTAGCATCAGCATGTGCTCCACTTTCTCTTTTCCTCCAGGCTCCCCAGGTCCCCAGCCCAGGAGCCGCCTTCAAGCTGCCAAGGGTGGGGTCCACCCAGAGTTGGGCATAGAAGCTTTTCTTTTCATTTGTTTAGCATTTTATTCAGGCATCCCCAGATTTTTGCTTCCTCCAATATTTGTGTGTGTCCTTGTTCTCTGTGCCTCCCCAGGCCCCACCACCAGCTCTCTCCCCTCCTCACAACCACTGCCTCAGTAACACATCCCTCACTCTCTATTGAAGCAGTGTGCTGACATCCTTGTAAAAACAAATTTAATTTGTTCCATTTTTGGGACAGATGGAAAGAAATTGACGTCTTTGTCTCAAAAGAAAAAAGAAAAAGAAACAATATACCTCTTTTCCTTTTGACAGCCACTTCTTTGGAACAAAAGCTGGGAGGCTGTCACTCTAGCAGGGACTGAACTAGCGTTCAGGGGCTTGGGGGCTTAGGCACCAACATGGGCTTTGGGTACATTAGAGATAGAGATGCCCTTAGTGGACAAAGCACAGTCCTCTTCTCAGGGTGAGGTCCCCAGAAGCCTCAGCCCTGGGGATATTCTTCCTCCAGAACATGGCTCCCCTCAGAGTGGAAAGATGTGGGGCAGTGCCCAGAACTCAGATCCAGCCTGCTGAGCTACTGTTACCTGAGTCTCAACCCACCCAGAATACCCTCACCACCAGAATGGACCCTGTGATCACAGAGACCTTTGTGTCTGAGTGTACTATTGGGGTGGGGGGTGGGGGGGAGGTTAGCAAGGCAAGGGACACTCCTGGACACAACTTATCATCTGGGACCCCTCCTGCTAATGCTTTGGGAAGATGGCAGAGAAAGACAATTTAGGAACTAATAGGAATTAGGGAAGACTACTGAAGGAGGTGACATTGGAACTAGGGCTGCTTATTCTCTTTGCAAGGATTATGTCCCTTTCAGCCACTCCCAGGACAGGCCTGTCCTGTCTCAAAGCTGCTTCAGGCCCATTCACTGTCATCTCCTGTGGCTATAACAGATCTGGCTGCTTTTTACCCCTTATGATATATAATTGATCCTGGGGTCAGCAGAGGCTGGGTCCAGACCACATGCATTTAAGGTAATGCAAACTTGTATTGAAATCTACTTTGTGCCAGGCTGTGCACTCTGGGCATTGGGACTTGGAAATGAGTGAGACATATCCCTGCCCTCAGAAAGCCTGAGCTAGTGCTGGGAGACGAAGCATAAACAGATGATTGCATCTCAGAGTGCAGTGACAGGGAGCCCCAGGGAGGGTGTCACGGGGAGAAGCCTTTTTTAGCTTTTTAGAAAAACATATGTTTGTAGCAATTCTGTAAGAGGTGGAAAAGAGAAAGAGTCAGGGGGCCTTAAAGTATGAATAGGAGTTGCCACCAAGAAGAGGGAAGAGTGTGTGCAGAAGCATAAGGATGTTCAGGTGCTTGGCAAACCCAAGAAGGTGTGTGCAGCTGGAGTGTGGGGCTTACATGAGCGCTTCTGTGTGCCAGGCTCTGCCGAGTGCTTTCTGCACATTATCCCATCTGATCCTCATGGCAGCTCAGTGGGGGATGTGCTGTTATCCCCATTTTAGACTAGAAAACAGGCTCAGAGAGGTCAAGCCCCTGGATCACAGAACGTCTACTCATGGCAGAACACAGGTCAGTGAAATTCTGGGGTCTAACTTTCCAGTTACTTCCAAGCATCGTTGAAGTAGAAGGGCCTCAGTAGCTAGAACCCTGGGATGAGGTTCTTGAAGACTTAAAACCAAATGGAGAAAATCCAAAGGAAAAGCAATTTTCTGTGAACTTTTGTTCCTCCTGAAGCTCTTCAAATCCTCACATTTCAAAATGTACTGTGCATGGTGCATTTTAAACCTCCAAATTGACAGTGTAATTCTAGATTATCACAGCTTCTCAAAACTGTGGAATAGGTCTGTTTCCCCCCAAATTTCCATTTCTCTCCAGGAGGTGGGAGGGAAAGTTTTTGCCCCTGGTTTCAAAATGTTCTTCAGTGTCTATGTTTTCTTGATGTAATAGAAAAAGTGGTTAAGGTTGGAATCAGATCTTGGCTTTGCCTCTCTGAGCCTTAGTTTCTTCACCTGTAGAGGGATTTCCTTCATGGAGTGGTTGTGAGGACCTAATGAGATAATGTACACACGCGTATAGGTGTAGGGCTCGTCACATACATAAGCTCCTAGCACATGTTAAGTAGCTGTTATTACTTAAAAATGGAGCTGAGGGGCTGACCAGTCAGCTCAGTTGGTTAGAGTGCAGCTTTATAACACCAAGGTCAAGGATTTGGATCCCCGTACTGGCCAACTGCCAAAAATAAATAAAAATGGAGCCGTAGTGCAAGGTCAGAGCGAGACCTACAGGGAAAAGTGGGTGAACTATCAGGGGTAACAATGAAGAGAGAGAAGAGAAAGGGGACCCACCCTGGGAATCTCTCTGCTTCCTAGTCTCAGAAGCCACCGTAGAGAATGTGCTGCCATGGAAACGGGGGGAGGAGGGTGTTCCCAGGGGGAGGGAGTGATGGATAATGTCAAGTGCCATCAGAGAGGATGGGAGTCGGGAGGGCGTCAGGGTGATGAGAGTAAACCAGAGCCCTCGAGTTCAGTCTCCTACATGGCCTGGAAAGCTCCCCAAACTGGATTCAAATCTCTGCTCTGAAGTTGACTGTGTGACGAAGGCAAGGGATTTGCCCTCTCTGAGCTGTTTCTTCCTAGATCTAAGATGAGGGAATGGGTCATTCTCTAACAAGAGTTCTGGTTTCTCTGGGTTCTTGGCCACTTGCTAGCAGTGTGATGTTAGGCAACTTGCTTCACCTCCAAGAGCCCCCTCTGAAAGCTAGAGATATTACAAGCAAACTGCCTACCAAAGTGCTTGGCCCATAGTAGGCCTGCAATACAAGGTTATTCTCTAGCTGCTTCTGGCACCCACTCTAAGGAGGTTTGCTTGGCTTGGAGTTTGAAGTGCTCTTCAAGATGGAGGGGGCCAGCAGTGTCCTAAGAGGAGTTGGAGGAGCAACAGTTCAGGCTGAGCACCTGCTTGGACTCAGCCCAAAGACCAGCCCCTCTCTTTGTATCAGTGACAGATCCCTAGCCCAGGGCTTGCCTTCTGCCCTGCTTCCCAACTGCTGCAGATCCAGACTGGGAACCAACTCTGAGGGCTCCATAGCCTCTGGGAAGTGATCCTCCGTAGGTCATGGCCCAGTACACCCACCTTTCATTATTACTTATTCCTTTATTTTACTTCTGGGCACTAAGCACAAAGTGCTGGAAGCTGGGAAGAGTGACCAGAGTCAGGAGACCAGGACAGCTGGCTGGCTGGTTCTGGCTACAGGCAGCTTGGGTATTCAAAATATGGCTTAGAGAGGGGCTGCTGCAGGCATTCAGGGTGGACATGCTGACGCAGTAGAGTGCGGCATTGGAGGTTGCCCCAGCACCATCAACGGGTGAGCCTCACAGGGCACCTACCTGGTTTCCAGAGTGCAGAGCTTTCGCACACTCCAGCGCGGGAGGCTGCTGTAACGCTCATAGTCGATAGTACCCAGCACTTCCCCTTGCCCAGTTACATAGAGTAACTCATTTTATCTTCACAGCATGACTGTTGTAAGGTCGGCATTATTGTTACCTCCATTTTACAGAAGAGGAAGCCAAGGCTCAGAGAAGGGAATAACTCATCCAAGGCCATGTGGCTTGTCAGTGATTGGCCCAGCTAGGCTTCCTTCTCAGGTCTGTCAAGTCCACTTCCTCAGCTTTCCTCCTCCTGCCTCTGTGATTACACAGAGGGCCCCAGGTTCACTCTCAGGTCCAGCTCACAGTCATGGACAGAGTGTTACCTGTGCCAGGTTCTGTGCCTCATCACCTTGACAGCAGAGGCACATGCCAGTCACCCAAAAAACTGCTGTGACCTTCCCTGCCTTGAAAGGCCTGCTTTTTCTGTAATCCTTCGACTTCCTGCCATGTCTTTGCTGTGTGACCTTCGGCAGTCATTTCACTCTCTGAGACTGTTTCTTCAATCATGGATGGCAACACTTACCTGGTAAGAAGTTGAGAAGATTTAAAAAGAGATCGTGAGTGAAGGGCTTCGTCTGTTTTGGTCATGAAAATATTACCCAGCAAATCCAAGTGGGCACCCAGTAGTTATACCGAGTGGATAAATGATGTGCTGGTGCACAGCAAGTGCTCAACAATGAAGCTTTTTATTTCATTTTTGGCAGCTGGCCAGTTCTGGGATCCAAACCCTCGACCTTGGTGTTATAACACCACACTCTAACCAACTGAGCTAACCGGCCACCCTGGAGATTTTTAATATTATTGAATGTTTTAGGTTACACCTGCTCCAACCCATGTTTCTTAATGCTGTAGGAGGATCAGGAGCAAAGGACTTTCTCTTTTAACTGTCTCCTTGAGTTCCAGAACATGAGACAATGCATTAAGGAAGCAATTTTCAAGGGGATGTCTTTTCTCCAAGTTCCTTATACATGGATGTCTTCTTATGTCCTCACCGGGACTGCCCTCCCACGGACCCAAGGAGAGGTCAGCCTAGAAAGGAAAAAAGGTCCCTGGTGGCACTGGTCTGGGCTTTTGGCCTGAATATTTGAGTCATGGGGATGGAGTTCCTTGGCAGGTGTCATGTATCTGATGGGGCTTATCTTCTAGAATCTCCTTTTGGAATGAGTCCCAAGACAGGAGATGTAATCCAATTTTGACCGTCCATCCTCCACTTCCTTGCTGTGTCATGTTGGGCAAGTCTCTGACCCTCTCTGGGCCTCTGCACAATGGAGGGGCAGATGTAGGAGGTGATGGATTCTGAGGGCTCTGCCATCTCAGCAGAGAACCAAGACATTTCCTTCATGTTCCTTTATCCCAGAAACAGACATCTATTGGTAAAGGCCACTGGGCATTTGCCCAGAAACAGGGAAAAGCATGCCTGGGGGGTTTGTATTTGTAATTTGGGGCTGAGGGAGGCAGGCATGTTAAAAACAAAGCTTGACTCAAACACCTGGCTTTTTGCCTACCCCCAGATTCCATCTTGGTACCAAGGACCCAGCCTTCTGTTTTCTCAATAAAATGAGCACTGTTC